ATTTGGATGAGAAACTTTGGTATCAGGTCAAATAAACAAAACCATAATAACTATCCATTATTCTACTTGTATTCATTTTTAAAATGCACTCACCACACTCTTTGTAACAGAGCTGAATTAATCCTGAAAATCTTTTCAAAACCCCACCTTGATGTTTCAGGTCCCACAATGGGGTCCTGACCCCAACTTTGGGAACCACTGGGTTAAACTAAATATTTGTTTGTTTTATTTTACCGTTATTTAACCAGGCAAATATGGTTTGGTGATGTATTTAACAAAATACTGTTTATGTCTGTAATTATAGAAACAAACTCATTAAAAATATTAGGCACGTTACCTTAATGTAATCCTAAGAAGTCGGTTTCCAGACTTCTGTTGASTTAAAAATAGAAGAGTGACAGATGTTAAAACATTGTAATTCTCATGCGCATGTGGCTTATAGCTGACTCTACATCATTTTAATATGTTTGGATTTGTTAGCATTTTTTAAAAAAGTACTTTAAGGTAAGGTATAGAGGCTGGACATAAAGAGGCTGGATGGTTTCCAGGGGCAAGAAAATTAAACTGTTGAAGCATGTCGGTCGAGCAAAGCCCAGAGAAGATTCTTGCTGTATGTCTTTGCGCAMCGGGGAGGGGAGAAAAGAAAAAAGAAAAAGAAAAAGGCTTAATGTCAATGTAATTTGAAAAATACCAAAAGCAGTGAAGTGCACCTAAATCTTCATAACCTAAGAGCATTCTGACTCAAAGTCAATTTTGTAGTMTGCAGAGAAATGAACGTGTTAGGCTGGGAAAGATTTGAGAGATGGGGAAGTAATGATGCTTTGGTCTCCTCAGACTTGGAGAAGATTGGGAAGAACCTCTGCAGCGCTGTGTAATAACCTCCACTTGAGTCACTGGCAATCACTGCTCGATTTAATATGAAGAAGGCATTTCTCTTCTTACTATTAAATCTCTCACATTTCCTCTGCCTAATGTCTCTTTTCCCCATTTTTCCTCTTTCCGTACTCAGCAATTTATGCATGCTGCCACCCCACCCCCCACCCCACACCCCACACACACACACACACTTTTTTCCTTTTTATTCACTCTGTTGGTCCCGTTCATTCCCTGAGATTTGGAGGCTGAGTAGAGGCCTACACTTGTCGAACGAAAGGAAAATTAATCCTATTATTTCAGAGTGACGCCGGCACAGCACAGTCTCTTTGTGCACAAACTGTTGCAAACAACCACAGTGAGAACGTCTTTATGTGAGAAATCATCGTCCTTAGAGGGACACCAGACCCTAAATACTAATTGTTAGAGGTGG